ATATATATATACATATATATATATATATATATATAGGCCTATATATTCTTACATTTGTGTAAACTTTCAAACTTACAAGACCTGCATGATGAATTCAACTTTAAAATAATGTGATCTTTTTAAGTCAAAACTCAGAGTTTTGCTGTCTTTAATACAATTTTATAGCATAAACAGCTAAATATAGTTATCCAGTAGGCTACATTAACTAACTGGTTTATTACTTTTCAAACTAACAGTAGTAGAGCATTACTTACAGTGCTCATTACTGCAGAAAAGCTTACAATTAATTTGTTATATATATATATATATATATATATATATATTCTTAGACATGTGTAAACTTTCCCATATGACTACTAGCCCTGATCATCCTTGTATATGTTTACAGCAAAAGTTTAAGTGATACCTATTTTGTAATTATTCGAATTAATTAAATCCTTTTGACTAAGATTAATTTCATGCATGGCTAAAAGTATGTGGTCTGTGTCTTTCAAACACCAAACCCAAATGTGGCAATAGTTTAATGAGCTACTGGATCATAGATGCAGGGATCTGCTCCCATCCGGACATAAGAGCATCGCGGGGGTCATACATTTGGTCCCCATAACGTGATAAATACCAGGTACACACACACACACACACACACACAAACACACACACACGTCTTTCACAATAATCAGAATAGGATTTTCAGTGGCTGATTTTTAAAACATTACACTTGGTTTCCACAGTACTGAATAGTAAGTATGTCGATAGTTTTGTAAACTATGGAAATAATACAAACGCGTTTAAAAACGCAAGCGGGCGCTGTTTCTTAATGCACTACTGCTGACTGTCAGCAGCACACCCTCTTGTGGAGTTGTTGGTTGCCTGCCTGGCGTTGCCAAGGAAGTCAAGTAAGTTTGCTTCTTCAGCGAGCTGGAGGTGAAGGAGAGCTGCTTCACCCTCAAAATATGTCATTTTATACTTCTCACATATGTATATTTATACTTTGCAAAGGGAAGAACGCTACATTTTGAGTGTAGCGGTAGCTAACAGATGTGTGACCATCGTGTGACAGGGAATTTAACATCGCTTTGAGGGACAGAGATATCAATGTCAGCTGGAATCACTCATCAGAATAGTAGCGCACTATTAATGAATTTCAGTCTTAGTTCACGTTTGATCGGAGCTTATTTTTTAATAATAGTTGTGTTTTTATTTTTACTGTTTGTACAGTAATGTTGCTAGTTGTAGCCTATTGGTTGTTGTTGATAACATTGTTAATTTAAGACGCCTGTTTAATACATAGATGTCTTTTGCTAAATAGACATTTTGTTAGATGTTTAATGTATTATTAATCCGTTGATGTTTTAATACAGCCTAACGTAGGACTGCAACTAACTGTTTATGTGTTTCTGCAAAGCATTCTTCCTCTTATCATCACCTTTTAGCTGTTAACACCAGGTTTGTGTTTTAGTTTAATATTACTTAAACATTTATTATTTAATCAATTTATCAAACGGAGAATTAAAAAATGTAACCCATTTTTTTCAAACCGAATTTCGCTAGGGGGTCGAAGGACAAGTTAGAATAAATTATAAAGATTTTACAAGATGTATGTTATCTTTCTTGTGTTGTAATGTAGTATTCCAAGTAAAGATGCTTTGGGACAATATTTATATAATGTGTTATTTTTGATATTGATATTGACCTGAAAAGTTTTCTCTGATATTTTTAATATTGGGTAGAAGAAAATTTATATTTTCTGTACAAAATTACATTTACATTTATATTTATGCATTTAGCAAATGCTTTTATATGGAGTGACTTAAATAGAGGGGCATAAGCAACTTGTCACCGAAATTTTATTCGCAAAATAAACGCTGCCTGATAACACAAAATACATTTTTCCAGGTAGTATTTTAATAATGCTTATTTTAGTGCAATGGTAGATAGGATCAAAATTATATTGTTTTGGAGAAAGATGGGGGGGAAAAGATAGAAAGAAAGGGGAAAAAAGTATTTTGTAATATCAAAATAAAAGTATGTGAGCTAGCCGCCTTTAAATTTAAGGAAGGGGTTCCTTGCAATATTTAAAAATGATTGAACAAACCCTTTGATTTAAATTGTTCTGCTGTTTTAAAATTATTTAGATTTTTTTTTAAATCTGATCTTTGTATTTTAACTTTTTTATTTTAAGCAACATTGCATCTTACACAATGTAGACCTGAACATAATATTACATTTACACATTGGGCAAGATGTGGAATATCGCTTAGTTGAACAATATGTAAAATATTGCATAATCGAAAGACATTGACATATTAATCAGAAGTCATCAAAATAATCTCCTTGCTGTCTCCACAGGATGTAATCATCTGAGTATCATGGGACTTGTTTACATCTAAAACCAAGTCTGCCAATAGGATGAGTGAGCATGGAGACAGCATCGTCCCATTTAACCCCACAGAACTCAGGTCAGGAGAACCAGCTTGTAAAACAGATATTACTGTTCTAAGTGTAGACCTGAGGACAGAGAAGAGCAACAAGGAGGAGCTCAAAGACATCAAGAAGCCATATGAAGGTAGCAGTCTACTTCAGGATGAGCATAACAACGATGCCAAGCTTAGTCCATTTAAGCCTCAACCTCCCTCTCTTCCGAAGCCTGTGGGATTGGGAATGGGGGGTAAAAACATCTCATTTGAAGAGAAGGTGAGGGGGAGAAGATTGAGGAACAGCCAGCAGAGTCTCACCGACCCAGGCGAGACGGGCTCTTCCACCGATTCGCTTAAAGAAGACTCCTCATCAAATGGCCAAGGCCTTGCATCCGGACATCCCCTCGATCTCCCACCCATGGAGACACCACCGTTCAGGACCGGTAGCTTCTCAGAGACTGACAATGAGCATAGTGATCCAAATAAAGAGCGTTTGAAACCGTCCAGAATTATTCTGTCCCCACTGCAGACCAGTGGCACATATCCTCCTCTGGAGAACAGCGCAGCCTCCACGTCCTTAAGGACAGCTAATCGGATTGACAGGGATTGTTTGGATTACAGTGCGGTGGGGAGAAGGGGGCGGTCGGAGAGGCTTCAGAGGAATCTGAGCGATAGCCGGCTGTTGGACACCATGGTGTCAGACAGTGCCTCTGTCCATTCCATGAAGTCCACCTATAGCGTTCTGAACCCCATCAGACCCCGGGATGTGAGGAACAGGTGAGAAGCTTGTGCTTTTTTATTTTTCTTCTTTTCTTCAGCCTGTTTGAAGGTATCACTCAGCAGATCTCAGAATTCAACTTGAACATCACATGGTCACAGGCTGATGTGGCGTCTTGATTACCTCCTAAAGAGTCCTAAGTGTTCAAGCCTTTTTGCTTATGTGAGCATTTTTGTGTGAATGCATGATATGAATTAAATTGTATGTTTCACAAGGAAGTAGATCATGATTAGTGTTCCTGCAGGAATGAGCGCAGGCATTTGCCAGAGTAGGTCGTTGCTTACAGAAGTGAAAAGTGAAGCTGGATGTTTATAGAGAGATTGGAGAGGAACGGTGAAGCAGTGTGAATGCAAAGGAGATTAATGGATCAGTGAGATGCTAGTTCAGCAACTGTCAAACTGCATCAGGAGAACATACATTCATGTTCTACTTGAGGTTGACATGATATATGTATGGGCAATGGGCTCACACAAGACACCGATAAGCCAATAATTACTTTCATGTTATGGCTGATATTAAAAATGTATACTATTTTCTCTAAATAATAAAAAGTAAAACATTTAACAACTAAACAATCAATGCTACAAGTAAATTTAGGCATAAAATATGAAAAACGATTTGCTAAAGATTACATTTAACAGGTTTATTAAATTATGAATGATTATAGATTAACTTTAAAGGGGTCATATGATGCGATTTCAATTTTTCCTTTCTCTTCAGAGAAGATCTGTAAAGTTGCACAGTGTGGTAAGGGGCGTAACATTTCCGTCACACGCTTGAGGTATTCGGCCAATCATAACACACTGGATAGCTGGCCAATCACAGCACACCTTGCTTTTCAGACCGATTAGCTTTGTAAAAACCGACACGTTTCAGAAAGGCGGGACATAGAGGAGAAACAATAATGTACAGTATGTGGAAAATAATGTGTTTTTTGAACCTTAAACCGCATAAACACATTTCATTACACCAAATAAACAAAATAATGTTCTTTTTAGCAACATCATATGACCACTTTAATGGATTCATTGAGATAATGAAATAAGGTAAAAAATAAGGTAACGGAGCATGAACAATTAAATACCCAGTCCATATTATCTACTATATCCGATATTGAATGTTGTATCCATAACTGTATGTCACCTTTTTTTAAATAATTATGTATAATAATACACACACACACACACACACATATCAAAACATTTGGGTAAACTCATCTTTAGTTTAAAATTGTTCTGTCTTCATGAAATAATGCAGTTATTTGCTTGCTTATAAGAATACATTATGTGACAGATGCTAGGAGCATTTCTCAAATCTTTTGTTCTTATTTATTGTTTTCCTGAAAATGTACTTGCTTATGGTTTTAGGAGCTTTCTGGAGGGCAGTGTTTTGGGTAACGGTGCCTTGCTGGGGGCAGAAGAGCTAGACCGCTACTTCCCAGAGAGACGGCTCGGTATCTACATCGCCACATGGAACATGCAGGGAGAGAAGGTGTGGAACAGTACTGTCATTTTGTTTGTTTAAGTGCATAGCAGCAGTAGCCTAAGCTTTCACTCTTGGTCTCAGGGTCTTCCATACAACCTAGATGATCTGCTGCTCCCAACCGACACAGACTTTGCACAGGATGTCTATGTCATAGGAGTTCAGGAAGGGTGTCCGGATAGGTAAGATATTGCATTGCTTTTCACAGCTTTTTTATTTTGTCTTCTTCTGATACTCAGCACATTTACTCTTCATGTTTTCCACAGGAGGGAGTGGGAGATCCGCCTGCAGGAAACTCTTGGGCCATATTACGTGATGCTGTATGCAGCAGCCCATGGCGTTCTCTATCTCACTATATTTGTCAGGAGAGATCTCATATGGTTCTGTTCAGGTAAAGCTTGTTTTTTTTTATTGAAATTAATATGATATATGTTATGCACTACCATTCAAAAGTTTGGGGTCAGTAAGATTTTTTAATGTTTTGAAAGAAGTATCTTATGCTCATTGAGGCTGCATTTATTTGATCAAAAATACAATAAAACAGCAATGTTGTGAAAGATTACTAAAATTTAAAATAACTGTTTTCTATTTTAATGTATTTTAAAATGTAATTTATTCTTGTGATGGGAAAGCTGAATTTTCAGCAGTCATTACAGGGCTCCAGACTGCGACTAAAACGGTCGAAAATAAAAAAAAATATTAAAAATATTAATTTGCGAGAGTTTTTGCTGAGGTCGCCACTGGCGACTATATATTTACATGCTATTTCTTAAAAATTTGCATGTAATGCCTTTTTGCCTGATTGTTTTGCGATCGCATCATTTGCTATGTTCACGTATTAAACTGAGACGATGCACATTGCGCATCAAAGTTTTAGTGGAAAAAAGAGTTTCAAACAGTCCTTATCTCTGCTGAACAGCAGCGCTGACGCACACCTGTTAAACGCAGCTTAGTTGTGCAGCGCGAGAGAGATCGAAATGACGGAGACGTGCAAGTAAAATTGTGGAAAAACAGAGTCTATTTCGTGCAGAACGTCCATTAATCGCAAAATGCTTTGTTACTTTTTAATAAACAAAGTATCAGCTTTAAAATTATGCCAAATTCATAACAAAATTCAAATACAGTATTGCCGCTCTTTAATGCGGCAGGCGCGATCGCTTTAGCGCCTCAGTTCAAGCTACAAGTGAACCCATTATATCTTTCTGTTTACTACTGTAGTACATAATGAACATGAATTAACATCAAAATGTAGCCTATTTTATAAGAGAGACTACAGTACAACTTACTGAAATGTCTCATGTAAAAGCTCATTCAGTGTTTCAAACTGCGGAAAACGTGTAAAGCTTGTAAACATTGCAGCGTAATTATACATTTACCTCCGAATAACCATTCGGTGTCCATAAGCTCATCAGTCAGCTAGAAAAATAACTATAAAGAAGAGCATTTTGCTATATTTATGCGCTATTGGATGTTAATATTTTTTAATGAACCTGTTGTCTACATGATTCAACTTTTCCTATACAAAATTGCATTTTACTAATGAAGAAAAACAGACTGAATGTGTGAAAGACATATGACAACACTTATAGGATGCACCGAGGAGGAGCCCAAACTACACTCAGTGGTCAAGTGATGCTTATGGTCCATGACATTGGTACAGATTCTGTGTCATGAACAATTCTTTGTGACTATATATTTCAAGTTGGAAAAGACGTTTAATTCCCACTTTAAGTGAACCTTAGTTCCCAGGTCATCTACAAGATCGATTAAAATGCTGATAAATCCAAGAAAAGATGAGACATAAATACATGAAAGTATGACTGAAATGTAAAAAATAAATAAATAAAACACGTTTATTCTGTGGCACCTAAAAAAATAATTTGGCGCCTAAAATTTTTTCTTATAGGAGCCAATGGCTCCTTACTCTATTTTTTTGTTTGGAGCCCTGCCACTCCAGTCCATCAAAGTCGATCTAAGTGTCTTGTGAAGTGAGAAGAGGATCCATTGGTGAGCAAGTGATGGAATGCTACATTTCTAAAAAATCTGCTCTGATGAAGAAACCAACTCATCTGCATCTTGGATGGAAAAACTTGGATAATTTTCATTTTTGAGTGAACTATTCCTTTAAGGATACATATTGTTAAGTTAAGTAGATATGGTATAAAGTTGTCATTTTAAGGGTACTGCCCTAGTGACAAGCTGTTGTACCCCTAAAGATAAAATTTTTCACATTTTTGTATGTGCTGTTGTTGAAGGATGGGGTTAAAAACTATTGGATGTGACAGCAGACCTGCAGGCCTTGTTTGAGTGTTATTTCCCATGCAAAGAGTGTTTTTACATAGAAGTCTTAAAGTCACAGTAGCTAAAATCAGCTTGTTTAAAAGCCTGAAACATACTGTATGCAATCACATGCATGCAAATGCACACTGGTATTACATTGTGTTCCAAAATGTGTCCGACCGCAAATTATAATGCAGTGCAAGTTGCATTCGTGGTATTGTGCTATATAGCTTGCATTAATGTTTACAGTCATGATTCCATGATTCCATGGATGATGCAATTGAACTCTGGTTCACACCAAGCAATCAAAATGTGTGTAAACAGACCGATGATTTAGTGTGGTCTGTTTTAGAGCATTTTTTTGAGCACAGCAGGTGAGATTGAGTAACAGTGTGTGTAAAGTCATGTCTGATCACTTGTCTGCCCCCAAGCAGCTATTTTCTACATTCGCTAACAGGCATACAAGTAAAGCTAGTATGTTCTTGAATGGGGAAAGAACATTCAGATGTTTTTGTCAAGATTAAATTTGATCAACATCAACAGCAGAATATGACAACATTTGTATTATTTCAAGGTTTACTCTAATATTTAAAGGTGGGGTAAGCGATTTCTGGTAGCCAATGTTGACATTTGAAATCACCAAAACAAACACGCCCCTA